CAGTCCTCCCACCCCCAGAGACACCCCATGCAGGCACCCTGAATTTGCAGAAGAGGTGGGACGGGGAGCTGGAGAAGATGGTCAAGACCCACCCGTGGGACAAGGCAGTGCTGCCAGGGGACTTTGCTCCCGTCAAAGGCACCGCGGCAAGCCATGCTGCTCCGCTGCTGCAGCACAAACACAGATGCACATGCACAGGGGAGGAGCGATGATATCATGACCTGGCTTTGTGTGAGCTATTTAGGGGGTTTTATTATTATTATTATTATTTTTCTTTCCCGTTCCTCTGCCTTCGAACAATACCCGTCCCAGCAGGGCTGCGGTTCACACCATTGTGTGGGACTGCCCTGCCTCAGGAAGGGGGAGATCTTTATCACCCCACGCTGACCGGGTGAGGCGAGTGAGCTCATGCTGGATGAGGAAAGCAAACGAGCACCTTGCCGGCAGCCTGGGATGGTGCTGGCAGCCTGCAGGTGCTCTCCACACACCTATCCCCCAGCCCCTGCATTTGGGGGGGCCCTGGGTGCTGGTTTATCTCCACCAGCCAGCATCAAGCCCACCCAAACGATCTTTGTCTCACCCAGCCCCACAGAGCCACCAACCACCAGAAACACACCCAGGCTGGGGTGCAGCCCCCCAGACTGTGTTGGAGCCACCTTCTTTTGCACATCCCCACTCCCACCTGGGCACAGTGACTGCCGTGGCATCAGTGCCTCTCCTGTGTTTACCCAGGAACGGGTCTAACCTGCCCGCAGCCGTTTGCTTTCCTCCTCGACCCTGCCCAGCCCTAAAACGGTCTGTGGCTGGGGCAGGGGACAGAGGGGGAGCAGGCAGCTGCACCCAAACACAGGCTGGCACTGCTATCATGTCCTGGTGCCACAGGGAAGGTTGGAAGGAGCCCTGTCCCCCACGGTACACCCTGGGTGACACGGCACAGCTCTGGCTCCCCAGGCACAGTGGGTGACAGGGCTCCTCTGGGGCATGGAGGTGTTTTGGGGTGATGCTCAGTTTTTTCCACCTGTGAGAGCAGACATCATCTTTCCCAGGCCCTGTCCTGGTGTGGAAAGAGCCTGGAGCTGTCAGCCGCTCCCCGCAGCACCACGCTCAGCTCCTTTATTTGTGGAGAAAGCCAGCCAGC